TGCTTTCTTCTCACGGTTTCGGCTCCCCTTGCATCGCATTGAGTACCTATAAAAGACACGGCTTTCTTGTCCTTCCACACAGATGTAACAATGTTTCCTCACCGACGAAAGACAGTTTCGCCAGTGTTGTTCCGCAAAGGTACAGTTTGTCGGAAAGAAAATCTTCAGCCAGTCGAACAGAAGTGAAAAAGTTATCGCAAAAGATGTGATAATTTTTCCCCATCAGATCGCTCACTAGGTCGGAAACATCACGATTCCGAGACCGTGTTTGGGCTGGCCGCCACTCTTTTTGCCCGTGTAAACTTGCATGGCGCTAACGAAACCATTTGTCGCATCGCTACGAACCCATACTTTACTTCCCCGTTTCACAGGCTTCATGTGCTTGTATTGTTTGAAGCCGTCTTCCTTCATACTTGACCATTCATCTATTGAAATGAACTTCGATGGCTGATATTCTTCGTGGATTCTGCTGTCAAGTCTATCTAACAAAGAACGCACCTTGAATAGCTTAGCATAACCAGGGTCATCTCGCGTTAACATGTATAGACGATTGTTCAAACTGAGATACTGTCGAATCTTGTCGAAGCGATTCCTTGCCTTGACTTTTTGGACGGTTGGAACACCAACAAAGTTGTCTTTAGACCAGTACACTCTTGTTTCCGGTAATGACTTGATTCCAAACAAATCATTCAAAGCAAAAAAAGCAGGCATTTCTTCACATGTTGTTGCATAACTCCTCGGCTCTGGTTTCGTTTGAATGCAGTGTCCTTCTCTTAGCCTCTGGCTCAAAAACCTTCCTCGGAGGCACGGGGTGTCGCTCTCTTCCGTCTTCGCTGCCGCTAGGAAATTGTGTCTTCATCCGCCTGTTTTGCCGTTGGTGCTTGGTTGCCGGACTCTTGGGAGGTCAAGTCTGACCAGCACATCAGGTCACAAACACTACCTGCCTGGATTTTTTTAATCGAGGTTGACTCTTCTAATGTTTAATTTTTATTGGGTTGGGTTAACTGTCTAGAACCCAACTCCCAACTTTTAGCATCAGGGGATCACACTTTGCCTGGTCTCTACCCTTCGACCTGTTCAGCATGGGTCTGAACTACCAATCCACATGTTCTAGCCGTGAGCAATCTCCTGGTGCATACAACTTACAAACTGACTTGTATACTCATAACCTGGGAACATATTTTTCTCATATAGTTAGTTGTATTTTTTTTTAACATTGAAATGTGCCCGCCCCCAGTATGGTCTCCAGATTGCTCATAATTGTGTGAACCTCAGACACCCGGTTGCCGACAAATGCTTTATAAGTGGAACTTATCTGGCGGATCCAATACAAGACTGTGGTGGAGTCACTTCAGAAGATTATCTTCTCTATCTTTGCGGTCATTTCGTTCACCAGTGTTTCAGCTAATCGCACAGCTATTAGAGCTCCCATGAGCTCCAGCCGGCAAATAGACAGTAACTTTAAAGGGGAAACACGGCCTTTTCCGCAATAAGACTACACTCTACTGTGTCATCTGTAAACGCACGTCTCAGGTACGCACACGCACCATAGGCATCCTGGCTGGCGTCACAAAATACATGAAGTTCTGTTTCTCGGATAGGTTTCAGTTCTTGGAATTCTCACTTCGTCAAGCTTCTCTGTTTCCCTGTGCCATTCACGCCACTCATGAAGATCAGCGTCTTTCAACTCATCATCCCACCCGTACTTCATACGATTCAGACTCTGCAGGATGATCTTACTTTTGATAGTGAATGGAAGGAGGAGTCCTCGTGGATCCCAAACAGAGAATGCTTGGTTCAAGATCTTCCTCTTTGTCGTACCCGGATCACCCTTCAGTCCGGCAAACCGGAGCATATCCTCCTGGGCCCAGGAAAATCACCCCACTTCGTTGGTTCACAGGAATATTCTTCCAGATCGAACTGATTTGTTCACATGCTAAACTTCATTTGTAATGCAAAATTAGGAGCTATTGAAGCCACTAAATCGGTTCCAAACTTGGTGCAAAAACAGCCCAAATACTGCTGAATAGTCCTCAATGTGACGCCATTTTTAAAACCCAAGAAAAATTTCGGGGAAACGCCGTGTTTTTATTCGACAGTAAACCGTAATTTCTAGCCCCTTCGTCCTCCATCTTGAATCCCAAAATGCTTTACTTGACCTATGTAACCGTGCTTTAATAAATTGTGCAATGGTGTCACACAATCTCCGAAAATTTGCAAGTAAAATGAGCGACGGATTTAGTCAATGTTGCTCGCGTTTTAAGGATGCAATCTGATTCACTCAACCGGAATTAAGATATGAGGCGAGGGAAAAAGAGAAAAGAGTGCTTTTTACTTTGGAAATTCCTTATCCTCTTTTAAGCGAATGGCATAAAATTGTTCAAGAACGAAACGTTCTGTCGCGTAGCACTTCGGTTATGATTTGTCAAGCGGATGTGAAGAGATACAGGCAAATTCTCCTTCTACAAGTGCAGCAGAAAACTCACCTACGGCAAAAAGGTTCAGCTACATAGATTTGGTGGAAAAGTGCTCATTCGGGCAATGCTTTGCCTTTAGCGATGATGAAAATATACGAGTTGGAATTGAAGAAAGCTTGTTAAATATTGCTTATAAAATTTCATTAGATTACAAAAAACTAAGGGCAGGGCAAGAAAAAAATTGGAATATCGAGTCCGAAAGTTTCATGTTATGAAGGGTCCAATAAAACCTGTTCATGAACTCTATCAAGAAATTGAAAACATACAAAATGAACTACAAGATTGGAAAAAGGCCTATGAAGATTTAGAGTTGGAGAAGGAAAGAATCTATGAGGAAATGGTGCTTTGCTGGACTCCTCCGGCCGCTGGAGACAGTATCCAAGACAAGTCACAAATTTGATGTTAACGTGTTTAATAATCGCAAGATTCACAAGGTCTTCGCACAATCACGGTCAATCTACCTCTCTGTCCAATAGATTCGAATTAACAACTTAAAGGGGGGCAGGCTCTCAATAATAAGCACGTGCTTCCGTTGTCACGGGTTACATAATTACGTAATATGTGCCCCAGTCCCCGACAGTGCTGGCAGTGAACCAAAAGGAAAATGAAACCCAAGTTTTGCAGAAAACAAACAAAGAGCTTGAAGATTATATTGCATCATTGGAAAATTCAATGGGAATTAGTTCATACCAAGGAAAACCTCTTTCAACTGTGATAAATAAGTTCAAGACCTTGAAAACTTTTATTTACTACTCTGTTTGCAGAATAGAAAATGAAGGTAAAATAAAATTTGAATTTCACGTCATTCTTGCACCATCACCATTGATTTTGATTTTGATTTTATCAGTGATGGGGTCAAAGTGCTTCAGGAAATCAGAGATATGTATTTTAAACAAAGTTTCAACGGAAGTTACTTTAGCCCCTTCAAACTGAGCATTTAGTGGTTCAATTTTGCACATTTTGTTCAGGTCATCACGGCATTGTTTGACCAAGTAGGACCTTGGTAGACTATCAGTGATCATGGAAATTTCGTGGTAAAATGAATCCCCCACACAAAATTTGTCTAAAAAGAAAAGGATTTTTCAACATTCTCTTTTTCTTGTGCAGACAAGGTACTATACTTTCTTTCTCCTTCTGCTTGAGTGGCTGAATCTTGACAGATGGGTTTACTTGTGATGTTGTGAACCACATCACTGTCTGATTCTTTGACAGTTAACCCTAATAGTTCAACACGAAAGGAAGATCAGACCGTTATGTCTGCAAAAAGAAACATAACTCTTGGCATTGTCAATGGAACCGAGAGTTACAATATTTACAGGACAAGGAGTTGAAAAGAACAATGATGTAGCTCGTGCAATAATTCTGAGAAAGTCCAACAAGTGGGATTCTGCAGGAGATGTTCTGCGACAAGAGCAACGTCAGTGGGAGCTTAAAGAACACGAGCGGGAAGTACGCAATTACATGAAGCGCAAGGACAGCTACTGGGATGTTGAAATTAAAGAAAACCGAAAAAAGGCACGAATAAATTTAAGTCAAGATCCTCTTTAGCAATCTATTGAAGCTCAAAATGAACATCCCCTCCCTGAATCTATTACCACTGACACTAGCTGTTCTTATATGACAGTGAAGCAATTGAAAGACGAATTAAAGAAGAGAAATGCTAAAGGATTCAGCAACAAAAATAAGACTGAACTAATCAAACAACTGGAGGAATTTGTCAATGAGAAAACACGAAATATTTAGTATTCTGGGAGCATGAAATGGCTTTAGTTACTCTAAGAGGGACTCCCTTACACATTCAAAATTATATAAACAAACTCACATGAAAAGCTACTTGATAATCAAAGAGTGCAGTGAAAACACATCAACTCAACAAATTATAATTAACTTTGTAAATAAAAGAAAATTCATCACTGTGGATTAATCCTTGGGTCAATAGATAGGGGCCATCTATATTTTGTACATTCAACTCACTTATTGGTCATATTCTTAGTAGCTTTTGCATTCAAGCGGAACCCCTTACTTTCCCTAAAGCCATTACAGTTAATTTCATTTTCAGTGCTATCATAATATCTATGATTGAATAGTTACAGGTTGGCGACTGAAATCGATTGATAGTTTCTCAATTAACATTCTCTGATCTTCTTGAATTTGCCCATTTACAATATAATATGTTTTTGGTGATTTTGCTAAAAACAATCTAATTTCCCCCCTT